TTTTTTTTTTTTTTTGTTAAAAATACGAATCTTTGCTATTGCACTATGTTGGTTGTGGGGTGACACACGTAGTAAGTTTTAAGGTTCCAGTAGCTTTAAAACATTTAATAAACAGTTCTCTCATCATGTGTGTTCGCTGTCCACGCATACGTAGACAATCATTTACATTTAAAAATTTAGTAACTGTTTTGACTATGCAAATGTTGAATGTTGTAAGCTATTTGCGTATATATATATGTAGTGTTCTCTTTTTGCAAAAAGGTTTGTAAGTTCAGATGCTCTAGGGATTTGCGTAATAATGTTTCGGTTTTTAAACTCATAAGTAGATCAGATGTGGTGCGAGAATATAATGTTTTTTAAAGTAATAAACATAATTTGTACGGAAGTATTAAGGAAGTTGTATGCAAAGAATGTTTGGTAGGCGAAGAAGGTATCGCAGACCCATCATGATCTGGACATTTGCTTGTCCCAATTTTATGGCATTATAATGTCTCGTGAATTGCATCGTTTATCTGATGTTCGTTCTTCGTTTTATTTGTCTTCAAGTATTCGGTCAAATTGTTGAACTCTGTGCTATATGTATGATTGCGTGCTTCTTAACTATTTCTTTTTCCTTCCCTCAGCATGTTCGCTTTCTCCAAATATTTCTTTAATGTAACGTAAGACGCTGTAGGATGAATTACACGAAAAAGGCTGATTGATTAACCTGAAGTAAGTGCAGTATTCTTGTGATGCATTTTGTAAAGCTGTAACTTTCCCTATTTATTAAAAAACTGTAGCACTTGTAGCGTGTTTCTACAGTCATATTTATTCGTTTATATATAAAAGTACCAACTTTTAGCTTTGCTAGCTGGTTGACATGACTAAAATGGAACCGTTTTGTTTACCAATTATGTGAAATGGGAATTTCTGCTTAAATTAGCTGTGATAAGAGAAGAAAGATGGATGCTTTAAATCAATCCAACTGGAGAAGGGTACGTGAAGGTCATGAAGGTATGCGAATAGGAAGAGTGACGGGAAAGTCGTCTTCCTGCGTGTACATTGATTGGTACCCAAGTATGAAGTAAATTCGACATAGGGAAGAAGGCATCGAAGGATTACGCGATTTATGCATGTTCCAGTATTTTCTGTCGGATCAGTTGACTTTTTTTTATGGAGGTGGTAGTGTTGTGACTGGTATCATCATAAAGGGTATATGAAGAGTCGGGATGGTACTGGGAAAGAGACTAGTCAAGAGTAGCATTGTGCTATTAAAGCGCACAAAGCTGTTGTGCATGAAATTTGTTGGTACAGCCGAGAAAAAAAGGGTTAAATATGGGAATTTGAGTATCTAACGTTGATGGCATGTACTGATGTTAACAGAAGAGCAGTGATCATTCTCAAATTTTTTTTAATATTAGCAGATAGTTTTCGTCATGTGGAAGTGAAACTTAAGAAGCAAATGCAATGAAAAGGCAGAAGAGAGAATATGAAGAGAACGACTGGGAAAGGGAAGTACCTGAGGTGCGGGGATTCAGGACAAACTTATATAGCACCTGAGGAAAGATAAGGGAAATAGGCATGGGAGATTTGATTGAGAGCATATGCCGAAACATTTCGATGTCATTTCATGTGCACAAAATTTTCCTGAACTTTAATTATGTCACATTTGGGTTTGGTTGCATGAATCGCATAACATAAAGAAGTGAACAATAAAAATGATTACTCTGATTGTGTTTAAAAAAACAGACAGCTTGAAACAATTTTTCTGTACATCTTCACAACCTGAATTTTTTTCTCAGTTTGTAGCAAAAAAGTGTGAAGTTACACGTTAGATGTATGATTGCAACCCCGTGTGACTGAATTCGTTTTATGCTTACAGCGTTAAAATTTTGGTGAAGTAGTACACACTACGTATTAGAAGATTGCTGAATCATTTGCCACATATCACAGGTGCGTTCGGTTTTTTAGAATATTAGAGCAAGATGATGATTTTAATACAATGTTTGGAAAGTGGCTTCTTTTCATTATATTAAAGTAATCATCAATTAAATAGTCTTATCAGGAGAATCAGTGTAATAGCAAAAACTGGTACTTAAGAACTTTCGAACAGCGTAGATTCTGTAACCGGTTAAAGTGCCAATAAATTTGTAAATGAATTATTTCTATGTAGCGTGTTTGCCTTTGTTTTCTTCTTCTTTATAAGTTAAGTAGCTTATATTGCAGGAACGTTTTCAATGATATTTATTGCGTTAGTAGATAATCAATGGGCGAGGTTACTTTTTTATACTTTTTCGTGCTTGACTAACTTTTAGTGCTTGAAAGAATGCACTCTTCACTTCACTTGTAAGACGTACGTGAAAGTGCTTAGAATGCGCATTGTTGCTCCATAGCTAACAAATTGCTTATTTAACTGTTTGCACAGTAAACTTTGATAGCAGACATTGAAAAAGCTTACAGTAATGGGTAATGTATTCGTTATCAGAAGCGTTGTTAGAAGCAGATATGTATTGCTCTTCTACTAAGAATGTTTACACAGTATTAGTGAGAAAAATGATAAAAATAGCTAACTCTTCACGCTATTATATCGACAATGTGGGACAAAAAGCTCAGTGATCAAGTAATACTTGCTTATCACGTAATACTTGCTTATCACGCAGCAGATGAAGGAATAATTTGCTGCAGACAGTGCATAGGTAGGAAGGAAACTGTACTTGTATCAATCATTACGGCAGTAACAGACGTGTTTGCAGAGTTGAATTAGCAGCAGACCAGTCTTGAACAACATCACCCATCTGCGCCCAATTGCTCTTCTCATCGCAGATAATTTTAGCAACAGCAACAGCAGTAATACCTCTGCAAGCGCAGTGATCAAGCAGTTCTATCGATTCATAATCAACTGTTTTTTCTTTGCATCATTTACTACTTCCTTGCGTCAGTAAGTAGTCAGAAGTTACACTGAATTCATAATCGTGTTAAAAACGATGTCGTCTTCTACTCCTCGAAGGTATGCTACATTCACTATTTACTTTGTAATAACAAATTCTCGTAATTCAGCTCAAGATCCATTGCATAAATCATAGCAAAGTTATTCATTATGAGAAAGATGAATTTCTTTAAGCAGTACCAATCAGATTCCCTTCAAGCAGTATCCACATTTCAAATAAAAGAGATTTGTAAAAAAGTCTGTCAAAACTGATGTATACGTATTTGATTTCCGCATGGCTCAGTGGTCATAGATTCAATTGAAGTAAAGGCTAAAAAGTTGAGATTAAAGTTTTATTTCAATTCACAGTGGTTTGCAGTTGCAGTCTTTTAACAGTGCCAGTATCAGCTGTCCATTCAATAACAGATCCTGGTTATGATGGAATTATTTACGTTACTTATTCAGTTATGCGTGCTGATAAATATGAGGCGCTGAAACCAATCTTGCCAAGCATCAGTGCTTATTGTCAAGTCAGTAACGAAAGTATCTAATTTGCTCTTACTCTGATATTTAATTTTCGCGTTAATTTAAAAGTAAATATTACTGAAGTTAGCATATGTTTTTTTACTTTTTGAAAAATCTATTTTTAGTAATTAATTATTTATCCATTAAACATTGAAAGTTAACATAATGCTGTTGTAAAAGTTATAGAGACTTTGCTGTGTTAACATTTAAAAATTTTTCCAGATTTACAAGAATATAGAAAATGCAACTACTGTGATTCCATTCAGCTCCAATATTATACCATCAAAAAGACTGATTTTCGCTGGAACAGGACCAGTTGATCGCGATGAAGATGACGTACGTCGTTTTAATGTCGCAGCTCGGAATGGAATGAAATTGTGGGTAGACATTAATTATTGTCAGTTTAAGGTTAATTAAAAGAAATAAAAATCTCATTTATAAATGAGTAAATACTTGATTTATTGAGATAATTGCTGAGTTCATTTCTTTCAGTTATTTTACACATAACCTGGAGTTTTGAGAAGCTTTTTTATAGAGCACTAAATATTGGCATGAAAACACCGTTAATTATAACATTACCGCATACAAAGTATCCACAAGCAGAGCTGGTTTCCATTCTTGGTGCTATGCATGAGCTGTATGTTCCCTTGAATGTTCGAGAAGAAGAAAACAAAATCAAAGTCGATAAAATTGGCATTCTTGCGCTCGATTATGATCAAAAGATACGATTTCAATTTTTCGAAAAATATTTAATCGTCAAAAGAGTGGCAATAAAAATTGCTATCTTTTGTATTTTTAATATGATAAAAATCAATCACAGGTTTTTAAGCATTGGTAAAAGTAGTACAAGCACTTGATGCTGCATTCATGGTTTGTCGTGATATCGGTGATTCAGATCCACAACGTATGTCACCACCCCGTGTCGCACAATATGTCTCTAATGCATTTGCTGGAACGAAAATTAACATGCGTGTTGTTTCGGAAATCAGCGTAAGTTCGTGGCACCGGTTATTCAGTTTTTTTCAGTTATTTCATTTCGGCAAAGTTGAAAATGAAGTAAAAAAAAATTGCCAAGTATTATTTTAAGACTTCAATTGCTGTTAATACTTCACTCGCTATTTTTGAAGTAATTGTGCAGATTTTAATCTGTGCTTTCAGGAGATTGAACGTGACTTTCCTCTTATGGCAGCTGTAAATCGTGCTGCTAGCAATGTTGAAGATCATCATGCACGTCTTATCTGGCTTGAATATATCCCAGAAGGTCATTGTGAAGAAACGATCATGTTAGTCGGCAAAGGTTGTTTTTGAAACCTTTTGGTCAAGAAATTTGGCTGTAATAAATATTTACCGCTTTTTAAGGTGTCACATTAGATACCGGAGGTACAGATCTGAAAACTGGTGGTAATATGTTTGGGATGTGTCGTGATAAATATGGTGCCGCAGTCATCGCTGGTATTTTCAAAATTTTAGAAATCTTGCAGCCAAAAAATGTCAAGGTTAGAATAGACATAATTTGTACTTGGCGAAAACTTGACAAGATTTTTACAAAAATTGTAATTATTTGTCCCTAATTTATGGATGAGTAATGATTCTTGTTAATCTATAGTTTTGTGGATATATGTGTATGGTGCGGAATAGTATTGGTTCCAATTCGTACACGTGTGATGAAGTTATTCGCTCTCGTAGTGGGAAACGCATTGCAATATACAACACTGATGCAGAAGGTCGTATTACGATACTTGATCCTTTGACGAAGATGGTTGAGCTTGTAAGATATTGGTCCTATCGTTTTGTACTATTTATCCAGACTAAATTGGTAGATTTAAATCAATATTTATCGTCCAATCAGTGCTACTGATCTGTCATTCCATGTTTGCATTTTCGATCAACAATTTCAAGTATAATTACAACTATGATACTTCACACTTTGTTGTGTGATTTGAGGCTATTACGGAGAAGAAACCACATTTATTCACGCTAGCAACGCTGACTGGTCACTGCGTTCTCACGTACGGTTCCATGGCAGCAGTCATGGACAATGGTCCAGCACGTACTATCCATACTGCTGAAACAATTCGTGATCGAGGTGATGCATTTGGTCAGCCTGTCGAAATATCACGACTTCATTCAGAAGTATCCTTTTTTTTGAAAGATGTTATCAGCTAGGACCTTACTTGATTAACTAATGACTACTGATAGTTTTCATTGCAACGATAGGAGAAAAACAACGTACGAAAATTTCATGTAATAGAATGACAAACAAAATAAATAACATAATGTTGCACATATTGGAACCTAACATGATGTAATGTACTGGATATTATTTTCTTCAAGTTTCTTAGAATGACATTATCAGCTAGTTCATGTCTAAAATTTTCTTTCAGACTTCAAAGTAACCGAGAAGAATCCGATCCTGTCATGTCTGAATTATCAAATTCAAAAGTACAATATGTTGATAAATTTGTTACAGAGTTTCAGGATTTTGCATTTCATGATGCTGAATGTGAAGCAGCAGATTTGCGACAGTCAAATACTTTACCATCTGTCAAAACGCTTCGCGGTCATCAAGGACCAGCAGCATTCCTTATACGAGGTTCAACGTTAGATAAACATGGATGTGATTCTCAATTGCCTATTCCGTAAGCCTTATTTCGAAAGTTTTAACTTGGTCTGTCACTTCTGGACATTTGACCAAATCACAAATTAACCCGTTAGAAAAATGTCATAAAACTGAACTTTTTTAATTTTTGCAGCCTAGAAATCTGATAAAATCTGAATTATACATAGCGGCGAAAAAGTAGACGTACACTCTAATTCATAACCGATAACCAGTTTAATTGAACTTTGTTTTTAGATTTACGCACATCGATATGGGTGATTGTATGGGTGCACACCCTCAAGTGAGCTACCCTAATCCACTGTTAGCGCTTGCTGCAACGTCAGTTTTTCATTATATACCTAATTTTTAACCTAACAGACATAAGGAAAATCTAATCGCTCTCTTAACTCCACTGTGAATTAGCACTAAGCTCATTAGATCTCTTGGAAAAGTACTGAGGGTTTGAAAATGGTATGAATGAAGCCAACATATTGCTAAGATAAATGATGCCTACGTCATTAGTAGAAATCATGCCTACGTTAAAATATACGCTTTCCCCTTAGGAAAACGTCATCACGTTTTCTACCTAAGAGAAACGCGTTTTTTGAAACATTAATTTTGGTAGCTATGTTTTTACTGATGTAAAATATTTTCTATTAATTTTTGAAAGATTAATTTTCAGGTATATTTTCCCCCACATCAATCTGTCTTTGAAGATGTAACATTTGAACAGTTCTTCAAGAAACTGCAAACGGTCCTGAAGCGAAAACTAAAAGAATGTTAAGTATATATAGCTGTAACAAATTTCCTCGGATTACATTATTTTTGATTTACTTTCACTATTTGCTATTTCTCACAAAGTAATGTCAAACTCAATCATAACAGAGAGAATAAAACTCAAATTATGCCATTAGATGAGGGCTAGTTTTTTTTTGAAGTTGTGGAATAGCAATATTCGCCTCAACGGTTTTCAATGATAACCACATTTCCATAAAATGCCCAGGAAAGCATCAATACGCACACTATTGACTGAATTATGAAGCAGATCTGAAAATAATACATGCCATAGATCTAATATAATTAAGTTTTGAATCTAAATACCATTTGGAAGTACGGAATGCTAACTAACCGCGGTCCCCACCATCAATCGATAATTTTCATATCGGCTCCAATCGCTTCGTTCCAGCAAGAATGATGCCGCAACAATAAATGAACAAATTGCAAGTACAGTCAAGATTGTATTCACAATAATCTCCTGTAATTCACAAATGATATAAAAACTTTTACATCTTAAACGTGCTAAACTTTTAATAATTGGACGATTTGAGCACACACATGAAGATAAGTTACGCTGTGGGTGCATTTGAAACTTTTCCGAACGTGGAAAGTCTCGTATTTTTTTCTAGCATGTTCTATTATCATTTAGGAGTAAATAAAATTTCTTTGGTTTAGGCAAATTTTATTAATTCAAAGGTATTGTACTAGAAATTATGCTGATTCTGCAAGCGGAGGAAAAGAAATAAGGACAGAAGACGCAAGATTTATTGCTTATATTTTCGTAAAGTATGTAAGGGATGGCACGAGTAACAAATGGCATTTATCAAATGGTTTTTATTTTGCAGACAGGTGCTTGGAGTGTGGGAAGTGGAATGTTTGCAATTTGTAGGAATTCAACAAATTAAGAATTCTCAGATGTTCAATTAAATCTCTGCAAAAGCCAAATTTTTTACTACTAATTGGCATACTTTAAACTAAATACACGAATCAAAATAATCTTTTAGACGCATAAGTTAGAAGATTGATTCTCTAAGCAATATTGTACTGGCAAATAGTGAATAGTGAGGGAATAGAATACAGAAATTACGCACGAGAAATGATTAATTAATAGGCACGAGAAACGATTAATTAATAGTTAGAAAAGTTATTCGTTTTGAAGCGTTCTGTGCTGCATAAACTGCCTGCAAAGCACTACGTGCCTGCTTCAGTTCTCTCATGTGACCATTAACCCTTGTGGTCAGATGACCAACGTC